CAGTCAAAGCCCAAGTGCCCCTTCTACAATGAGCTGTAGGATCAGGAGATGATTGTGCCTATGTGCAGGATCCTGGAAAGCGCGAAAAAATAATCTCAGTTCTTTACTCTTTCCCTTTCGTCTTAGAAATATTTTCTTTTCAAATATGTAATCAATGGTTCCTGATGGAAACACACCCAAACTGTAATCCCTCACAGTGGCCCCAGTTGGAGATCCTTTCTTACATGCAGTCAATGTCAGTACTGTGTCATTTCACACCATAGAGTCATAGAGCCATACAACATGGAACAGATCCTTTGGTCCAACTCATCCGTGCTGACCAGATATTGTAAATTAATTCAGTCCCATTTTCCAGCATTTGGCCCATATCCCTCTAAACCCTTCCTATTTCTTGTACCCATCCAGATGCCTTTTAAATGTTGTAATTGTACCCACCTCCACCACTTCTTCTGGCAGCTCCTTCCACAGTATTTGTTTGATAAATGAGATAAAGATGAAAATGTTTTGTAGCTTTGTAGTTGACTTGTGGAACATTTTGTGTTATTATATAATTGCTAATTGAGACAAATGGATTCACAATTTTACAGCCCAATTGAAATATAACATTGACAGTAGATTTGATACTTATACTTTTCTGGTAACACAAATTACTTTATAGTCACTGTAATCCTTATTCAAATGGCAACAATATACAGTTACCAACAAATACACAGCAAGGCCTCACAAACAACAGCACTAAATGACCACAGATTCTGGTTTGGTGGTGTCAGTTGAGATATACTCCCTTACTTTCCTTTAAAGAGCTTTGTGAGGTATTTTCTACCAGTGCAAAAGGTTTAAGTGCACTGAGTGATAGCTCAGCACTGCCTTATAGATGTGTTGACCTGGGTCAATGTGCTCACATTTCTGGAGTGGGATTTGAGACTTCTGACTTTGAGACAAAGCAATACCACTCTCTAAGATCAGTCATTTACATTGCAGTGCAACAACTAATTTTTCTGGCGTTGATTGATGCAATTCATTGTGATCAAAGATTTGGTTAAAGGGGGCGAGGAGGAATTGCAATTTCTTTTCCCAAGTAAAACCATAAGGTGTTCGATCCAAAAGTGCAGATTGGCCCCAGATTTAGACTAATCATGGACTGAAAAAGAATGTAATTTATTATGACTTGGTTAGGACTGTTAACATTTAAGAAAAATCTGAACATTTGTTTTAACCACAAGAGCTACACCACAAGTTTGTGAGTAGTAAACAAAGTTAACAACGTGAATCCTATTGAGTTGGCACGACAACTTACATCCAGTTCCGAGGAAGGGTCACACAACCCAAAAAATTAACTCTGATCTCTCTCCATAGATGCTGCCAGACCTGCTGAGCTTTTCCAGCAATTTCTGTTTTTAGTTCTTTTGGTTTTTATTTACCCATATATGTCATTTTGTTCAGTTTACTTCATATATCCACCAGGAATTCTTCCATATGTCACAATATCTTTGTTAATTACTTTTGCAATAAACAAACAGAAGTATGCCACATTCCTCAGGGACCTATATTTAATTATTTTCAATTCCGGCTATTGTGAAAAGTAAAGCATTTATCCACCATCCTTTGACTGTGGGTGCTTGAGTTCCTTGTAGTTGTTACCTTTTACAGTAAATCTGCTGGTTGATTTCTTTGTCTCAGACTTGAGGGGGACCTCTTTGCACTCTTCCATAAATTTAAAACTAAGTAGGTATCCGGCTTCTGTTCCAATGTAATATTCAAACTGAGATTAAGCCACATTCTGCGTTGTGAACAATGTTGTCTGCTAACTGCACAGTTTATCTATCAATCATTTACTTGAACCACCTGTGAACTACAAATTTCACACACCAATTCCAAGCAGCAACTACTACTTGGTGTGGTATTTTCCCAGATGATAAGTAGTGGTATTTGGTACCTCAGTAGGTGTGGTACAGGATACAGGGGGTTTGAGACAGAACATTGGCATCAATCCTCCTTTGCCTTTGTTTTGTCCATGGAGAGAGAAACAGTGTTTTGAAGTCTGTGACTCTGCTTCCATAGGACTCAAAACGGTTAGTCTGCTTTCTCTCCACAGATGCTGTCAGACCCGCTGAGTTTCTCCAGCAATTTCTGTTGGCCCATATCTCCAGCATCTACAGTTCTTTGTTTTATTCCAGACTGAACTAGTGCACATCATTGATTCTAGGTTAATTGGCCACACAGGGACAGCAGCAGAAAGACGTGGCTGGAGGAAGGAATTGTGGGAGCGGAAGGCTTTGGTGCCTATTCATCCTTATGGTTGCCAGAAGAACATTTGGGTTTAAATGCTATTTTGTGCACACATTCTCCTTGTTGGGCAGAAGGGCTTTAATATCATAGTTACATTGTTCAAATATCCATTAGACAATGCAATTGACCAAGCCTCTGGGTCCTATACTGTAAGGCTACATTTTTCTTGCAACATTGCAAAGTTGTCTGTAGCATTTATAACTGATCTTTTCTTGACAAAATGTGTATTTCCAAAAGAATATTCCTTATGCAGCAAATACTTGGTGCTATTCCCTGAGATTTCTAATCTCTAAACTCTAGAATTCCCTAAATTATTTGATCTTGCTGTCTCTCTGTCTTCCTTTAAGATACGTCTTAAAACGTACTTGTCTTTACAGAAGACAAAATATTGTTTCAATATGTTGGCTACCTGTCCTAATATCTCATTGGTGGCATGACATCAAATTTTGTTTGATTATCTCTGTTGTGAAGTGTCTTGAGACTTATTACATGAAAAGCATGATGAAATTGCAAGTGGTTGTGGCTTCTCTTTGTCTGAACCTACCTCTCAGACATTGTCTCATAATGGTGGTATCTACATTTGACTTAATTAATGTGCTGAGGTAAATCTTCTCACAGAATGAAAGAAGAACATGCCAACATTTCTTGTTGTTGATGTTCCTCAGACATTACCTAAGCTTACACATGTCATGCACTTTATCATTTCTCGAGCTTTTTGAATCAATCTCCTTAGAGATGTTATTACATACCACTAGACAGGTGGAGCTCAAAACCAAGTCTTCTGTCTCAAGGGTAGGGACACTGCATCACAACAGCCCTTTTAGAGCTCAATAACTTCTCTGCTCCTCTAATTCAGGGCATTTGCTCATCCTAGATTTGAATGCTCTGCCGTTGATATCTGTGTCTTTCCTTCTTCAACATGCTCCTTAAAACTTACTTCTTTGAACAACCTATTGGTCATTTGCCCCAGTGAATCCTTAGGAGACTCAACATCAAACTTTATTTTCTCATACTCCAGCGAAGAGCACTATATAAATATAATTTGCTGTTGTTGATCCATATTGATGTGAAATGCTTGAACCTCTTGTGCTATACAAGTGATTTGCACCTTCATTATGTGCCCAACAGCTTTGACCATATTCTGTTTTCCCCACCCCCGGGGAACTCTGTGTGTGGAGTTGGCACTTTATCCCTGTGTCTGCAAGTGCTACGGTTTCCTCCCACAGTCCAAAGATGTGCAGGTTAGGTGGATTGGCCGTGCTAAATTGCTTCATAGTGTCCAGGGATTTGTAGGTTAGGTGGGTTAGACATGGGAAATGTGGGGTTGCAGGGATAGGGTAGGGGGAGTGGGTCTGGGTAGGATGGTGTCTGGAGGGGTGGTGTGGGCTGAATGGCCTGCTTCCACACTCTAGGGATTCAGTGACAATGCAGACAGCAGAAATTTATACTGCCCGGGGAAGGGTTGGCAGGCCAGCAGGGTGCCAAATTGGGCACAATGCTAAAGCCACTGTTTCCAGCAGGGACCAGCCTTCCTCGTCACAATTTTGCAGTTAGGGTGGTGGGTTCCGGGAGGGTGCCAAGTGTGCCAATGGAGGCACTTCTCGGCTGATTAATTGCCAGTTAATGGCCACCTCCTACCCTGGTTACAACTGTCCCCGCAGTCAGTGGAGGCTGGCACGAGTCTGGGAGCTCTCCCTGCTCAGTCTGGTGTTAGGCATGCAATGATTTCCTTTCAGTGCATGATGCCTGGACCAACCAGGACTCCTCTCTCCCCAGGCCCCTCCTTCCGGTCTATCGTTCCATGTTTCCGCCCTTTCTTCATCAGCCTGTGTGCCCCGTCCTCACACCGCCTCACCCCATACACAGAGCCTTGCAGCCACACCCATGCTTTCGCACCCCCCCAGCTTCATTGAATGTGTCCATTCAGGATTGAATGCTATGCCAGCAGTGGCCACTGCTCCCAGTGGCGCTGTTGGGACCAGACAGCCACCTCTCATTTGATTGGCTGTTAAGTGGCTTTGGGGCAAGCTGATAGAATGATGCAGAGGTGCCGGTGTTGGACTGGGGTGGATAAAGTCAGAAGTCAGACGACGCCAGATATGTTACAGTCTGATGAATTTATTTAAAATCACAAGCTTTTGTAGCGCTGCTCCTACAGGTGAACTGAGGGCAGATTTGCCCCTAACATTTACACTGTGGAGGTGGGGACCATGTGGTAAAATAAAACTCTAGCCCAAATAGATTGAGCTGAAAAAAGAAGAGAAATTTGAAAGAAGAATGAGGAGGATTCCCTTCAGCTAATTGAGCCAGCTCTACCACTCGCATGATCATGGCTGACCCTCTATCTCAGTACCATACTCCCAATCCCTCCCCAAACCTCTTGACACAGTCTGTGGCTGGAAGTCTGTTTCTTTCCTTAGATATTTTCAGTGAGTTTGCCTCTGTGGCTTTCTGCAGTCAAGAATTGCACAGGTTTACCACTTTCAGAGTGGAACAAACATCAAAGAGAAACCCAAAATAAATCAGAGATGAAGAGGAGGCAGGGACAATTAAAATAGCAGCAACAGCTAACTTATAATGAGGACATGAAAGCGTAGCTTTTCAGCCTGGTGACTCTCTCCATTGGTGGGGCCGTGCTTTTTTATTCAGCTCTGTGGCTCATTTCCTGATTGCGTAACTTCCCAGGACATAGATTTGAGCTCCACATGTGTCCTGAAATGTACGAGCTCATGCTGAAGCCAGAATAAACTCGGATTTAATTACAGCAGCACCCCCTACGGAGCTGCTTGGGGGTGTTCTATTACAGGAGCTGCCACAGTGAAAGGTAAAATTCTCCTCATGAATCATGCAGGAAAGATTAAAGGCAGGAGGAAAAAAAGTTTTAGCATGATTTTTTTTAAAGTGCTGTTGACAGTGAAGCTGTTCATTTTTTTTAAACAAGACTTTTCCGATTGTTTAGATTTTGGGCAATTTTGTTAACTGCTGTAGACAGAGAAATTATTCATTTTTTCTTAGGTATGATACTTACAGATCTGGATTTTTTGTGCATTTTTGTTCAAGATTCGAAAAGGTCCTAAGGGACAACTTTTTTCACACAGAAGGTGGTGCATGTGTGGAATGAACTACCAGAGGAAGAGGTGAAGGCTGGTATAATTACAATATTTAAAAGGCATCTGGATGGCTACATGAGTAGGAAGAGTTTAGAAGGATACGGGCCAAATTGGGCTAGGTTAATGTAACATATCTGGTCAGCATGTGCGAGTTGGACTGAAGGGTCTGTTTTCATGCTGTACATCTCTATTACTATGGCTCTAACTTGAAACAAGTCTTTTTTTAATATTCTTCCAAGCAATGGAGGTGTCTCTGGCAAGGTCAGTGTTGGTTGTCCATCCCTAATTGTCTTTAAATGGGATGGCATGCTCATTCATTTCAGGGAACATTTAAGAGACAACCACATTGTTGTGGGTCAGATTGGGTAAGGATAGTAGGTTTCCTTCCTTGAAGTTAGTAAACCCAATGGGCTTTAACGATAATTGCTGGAGAAACTCAGCAGGTCTGGATAGGAAGGACATGTAGAAAATGTTTCCACTAGTAGGAGAGACCAGGACCTGAGGGTACAGCCTCAGAGTGAAGGGACAACCCTTTAGAGCTGAGGTGAAGAGGAATTCCAAGGGCCAGAGAGCGGTTAATCTATGGAACCCATTGCTGCAGAATGTTGTGGAGGCCAAGTCATTGAGTGTCTTTAAGACAGAGATAGTCAGATTATTGATTAGTAGTCAAAGTTTATGGGGAGAAGGCAGGAAAATGGGGTTGAGAAACATTTCAACCATGACTGAAGGGTGGAGCAGATCTGATGGGCCAAATGGCCTAATTCTCCTCCTATATCTTATGTCTCTATGTTCTGACTATATCTGTGGAAAGAAAGCAGAGTTACTGTTTTGAGTCCAGTGAGTTTATCCAGCAATTTCTCTTTTAGTTCCAGATTTTCAGCATCCATAATTCTTTGCTCTGTTTGGGGTTTTACAATAATTGCTAACTCTTCAACTGAATCTGGCTTTATAATTCAGATCTGTAAATTGCATTTGAATTCTACCAGCTGTCCAAGTGGGATTTGAAACCGCATCTCCTGAGCATTATAGCCTGGACTTCTAGATTACTATCCCAGTGACGTTTACTATTCTACCATTTCCCTGTGAACCTTGTGCGGCTGCCACTGAGAATCTGCTGGGCAAAAATTTAACATTAAAATGTTTAAGGTTACTGTGAAGTGCAGCAATGAGGACTCATGGAACAGAATAATATAAAAAACAGTCATAAATTCTGCTAATCGTTGGTTAAAATCTTTCACCATGTTAAAATATTTGCTCGTTAGCCATCACTGATTATGCAGAAAAAAATGGAAGGAACGAACTTGGAAAAGGATCATTTGAAAGTAAACCATTAAAAAAGGAAAAACAATTCCCGAGGGAAAAGGAAACAAATATCTTCCTGCCTCTGAGTTAAAACAAGCTCAGAAAATTGAAATTGGAAGAACGTATATTCTGTTGAGTTGTCTCTTCTACTGTTTGTTTCAGCTTCATGGAATCCCTACAGTGTGAAAGCAAGCCATTCAGCCCATACTGACCCTCTAAGGAGCATCCCACCCAGACCCACCCCTGTATTTCCCACCACAGACACTCTGGGAAATTTAGCATGGCCAATTCACCTAATCTGCACATCTTTGGACTGTGGGAGGAAACCAGAGCATCCAGAGAAAGCCCACACAGACACAGGGAGAACATGCAAGCTGCACACAATTGCCTGAGGCTGGAATCAAACCCAGGTCCCAGGTGCTGTGAGGCAGTAGGGCTAACCACTGAGACAATGTGCCACCCTAGTTTGGGAAGGGACCCTCTTCTTCCTCCTCCTGACATAACAGGACATTGGAAATCATTTTTCACAAAAGGACATGTTAAATTTTCGTGTTATTTCTTTTTGAGTGTGGACATATAGTACCGTACAAAATGCATTCAGGTAATAGAACAGAGCGAGGATTACAATGTTATGGCTGCAGAAAAAGTGCACAAAGAGTCATAGAATCCCGACAGTGCGGAAACAGGCCATCCGACCCCACAGAGTCCATACTGGCCCTCTGAAGAGCATCCCTCCTAGACCCATCCCCTACTTAATCCCTATAACCCTGTAACCCTTAATTCCCATGTTACCACACCTAGCCTACACGTCTCTGCACATTATGGGCAATTTAGCATGGCCAATTCACCTAACCTGCACATCTTTGGATTGTGGGAGATCGAGGTCAACGTTAAATTTAAAATTGAGAGGTCCATTCAGAAGTGGGGAGGAAGCTGTTCTTGAACCTGTTGGTGCATGTGTTTAAGCTTTCGTTTCTCCTACTTGATGGAAGAGATTGGAAGAGATTATAACTGGGGTGGGAGGGGTCTTTGATGTTGGCTGCCTTCCTGAGGCAGGGAGAAGTGTAGATGGAGTCAATGGATGGAAGGCTGGCTTGTGTGATGGACTGGGCTGTGTTCACAACTCTCTGTAGTTTCTTACGGTCTTGGGCAGAGCAGTTGCTGCACCAAACCATGACGCACATGGATAGAATGCTTTCTATGGTGCATCTGTGAAATTGGTAAGAGTCCATTTGATGTCAAGAGCATCCTTTCGCAATTGCTCACGATATAGAAAAAGCCCAAGGTTTAATCAAGCAGGCAGGAGAAGATCAGATTTTATTTTTAGACTGGACGCCTGTGGAATATTAACAACAATGGTCCATGAGCCGCCTTTTATGGTCCATCCGTTAAAATCAGGGGACAGAAAATCAAGGGTACGCTAAGCAGGATTTATGCTATAAGTGTCTATTCATTAATGCACCCACCAATGTTGTACTTGAATAGAAAAGTGGCATGTTGATCATTCGTACATCAAAATTGTGCATTCTGAATAAGTATTGGGAAAACTAATGAATGTTTTGGCAAACGTTCATCATCAGCTCTCATACAATTTACATTTACTTTCTGACATCCATTGGCAGTCTACAGTACATTCTCAACATCTAGAGATGCAAGCATAGAACATAGAACATAGAACATTACAGCGCAGTACAGGCCCTTCGGCTCTCGATGTTGCGCCGACCTGTGAAACCAACCTGAAGCCCATCTAACCTAAGCTATCCCATTACCATCTGTGTCTCCCATATCTCCCACAACTCATCCCTCACACCCCGTCCACACAATAAGAACCAAAAAAGAATCCCCCTCGTCCTCACGTACCACCCCACCAACCTCCGGATCCAAAGCATCATCCTCCAACACTTCCGCCATCTGCAATCCGACCCCACCACCAAAGACATCTTTCCCTCCCCACCCTTATCTGCTTTCCGGAGGGACCACTCTCTCCGTGACTCCCTTGTCCGCTCCACACTCCCCTCCAGCTCCACCACACCTGGCACTTTTCTCTGCAACCGCAGGAGGTGCTACACCTGCCCCCATACCTCACCCCTCACCCCCATCCCAGGCCCCAAGAAGACTTTCCACATCAAGCAGATGTTCACCTGCACATCTGCCAATGTGGTATACTGCATCCGCTGTACCCGGTGTGGCTTCCTCTACATCGGGGAAACCAAGCGGAGGCTCGGGGACCGCTTTGCAGAACACCTACGCTCGGTTCGCAATAAACAACTGCACCTCCCAGTCGCGAACCATTTCAACTCCCCCTCCCATTCCGCAGACGACATGTCCATCCTGGGCCTCCTGCAGTGCCACAACGATGCTACCCGAAGGTTGCAGGAATAGCAACTTATATTCCGCTTGGGAACCCTGCAGCCCAATGGTATCAATGTGAATTTCACAAGCTTCAAAATCTCCCCTCCCCCTACCACATCCCAAAACCAGTCCAGCTCGTCCCTGCTTCCCTAGCCTGTCCTTCCTCCCACCTATCCCCTCCTCCCACCTCAAGCCGCACCTCCATCTCCTACCGACCAACCTCATCCCGCCCCCTTGACCTGTCCGTCCTCCCTGGACTGACCTATCCCCTTCCTAACTCCCCACCTACACTCACCTTTACTGGCTCCATCCCCGCCTCTTCGACCTGTTTGTTTCCTCTCCACCTATCCTCTCCTCTATCCATCTTCTATCCGCCTCCCACTCTCTCCCTATTTATTTCAGAACCCCCTTCCCCTCCCCCTTTTCTGATGAAGGGTCTAGGCCCGAAACGTCAGCCTTTCTGCTCCTATGATGCTGCTTGGCCTGCTGTGTTCATCCAGCTCTGCACCTTATTGTCCCCCATTACCATCCATATGTTTATCCAATAACCATTTACATGCCCTTAAATTTGGCGAGTCTACTACTTTTGCAGGCAGGGCATTCCACGCCCTTACTACTCTCTGAGCAAAGAAGCTACCTCTGACATCTGTCCTATATCTATCATCCCTCAATTTAAACCTATGTCCCCTTGTGCTAGCCACCACCATCCGAGGAAAAAGGCTCCCACTGTCCACCCTATCTAATCCTCTCAAGCAGTGGCAGTGTAGCCAGATCTTGTGCAAAATCTTAACAATGCAGTACGGGCAGCCATGGCCAAGAGAACACCGAGTGTGCAGGTAGCATGATGGGACAGCCGTACAGGATGGAGTTAATAGGAGAAGCATAATCTGCAGGAACAGCTGCAACCATCCAAGGCATGGTTACAGCTGGGAAAGTAATAATGATGCTGCCCCAAGGTTCCCGTGTTGAACAAAATTAGATGCAGACTTCAAACGAATCCTGCATTCTAGATCTCACTACCTCATGCCCGTGGGTCATTAATCATCCGGTTCAGTTATAT